GCCGGGCACCATCTATCATTCTGTCAGCTAGGAGATTTCAATTTGCTCTCTTTTTGCGCCATTACCCGGGCCCCGCAGCCCGCGCAAAATTGTATTTAATTGTGATTGACTGCTAAGTGGAGGTGGCCGACCGCCGTCATTTGTCCCGCGATTTTTGCATATACCCTAATTGCGGGAGGAACAGTGGCCGTTGAATCGCGGCCGAATGGGATTCAAAATTAACCACAGTCGAATCCACTGCTTACCCTCTACCCGTCCCCCTTGCGAGTGAGAAATTTTAAAGCTCCTGTCCTCGTTGTCCTCCGTTTGCCTGTGTCCCCTTTGATCGGACAGATCCGACAGTGATCGATAGTGAAATGGACGAGGGCTGTCCCTACGTACGTTGCGAGAATGTAATTGTTTAACTCCTTCAAACTTTCCCGTGCATAATTATACACATGTACTTTACATCGTTTTTTTAGAGGACTTGCAGTGAAGTTTTTTTTACTTGCTGCTGTTGTTTTAATACTGGCAACATTTGTGAACGTAACTTAACATTGACGTGGTGGTGTGTTTATCGGTTACTGGGATATTTAATTAAGTCGCCGTGGAGAAATCATCCGCGGGAAGACGTGGTACGGTGTCTTTTAATTTGATATAATTATTAAAAATGGTTTGAAAATCGATTTTTTTTTTGTATTTATGTAATATACAGAAAAATATGAAATTTGTCACTTACGTCATTTCTTTACGCACTATCAAAATGTCTTTATATAGCTGTCAAAACGGATTTGCATAATTATGCATATTACTTATTTTGTACAAATAAAAAGAAAAGTTACAAAAATTATTTTAATCTTATTTGAACCGAATTAGAGTGATTTATAATCAATTCGACATTGAAAGCGTTAATAGAGGTGAAATTATGGTAGGAAACTCCTTGAATGGGGATGCTTTATGTGGAACATGCAAACGAAAGGATGCAATTTTTAATTTTAATCGTGTTCTCCTGAAGACCTTCGCTTCCATGTTGAAGAAGTTCTGTCCTAAAATAAGATACATTAGATAATAATTTAATTTCATAAAAAACACCTGTATTGTATACTACAGGATACTCGTGAACTACATTTTATACTTCTTCAATGTTTTAATACTACCGAGAAAAACAGTCTTTTTATAAAGATTTCCTTCTTTGAATTCTAGAATATATGGAAAATTGTATTCGAAAATTTGTAAATTGTTTTGATTTTATGCATGTATGATATGTACATATGTATATGTATACAAGGGTACAAAATATGATAAAATAAAATTCCTAATTAAAATCACGAAAATCAGAATTCATGGAACTCGGAAAGTTTAATCAAAGGTTTTATTTCATTTCGAATCTATCTAAACCTTTGACAGAGATAGCCAATTTTTATGTAATTCTCATTTCTATAAAATAGTTTGGAGAAATCCTAATCTATTTGTTTAAATAGTGATGGTGCAATATGTTTTATTTTTATAAGACCAGAATTCAAAATTAATGATAATAAGACACATTATTCTATACTTATTCTAATGAAACTAATGTATCAGAATTGAATACAAAAGATTTATATTAATTTTACAAATTATTTTCAATTGTTACCAATAATATTTTACTTTTCTATTAAGTATTAAGCTTAGTTTGACAAATTATAACAGTGCATTGTATATTAAAAAAAATATTTCACTGTGTCTAGTTTAAATACCAAGCAATATACGTTGAAATTAAGGAGATGGATTGGGAAACTTTTAGAAGGAAGTAGTCACCAAAACTTGTGTCAAAGAAAAACATGTCTTTATTCGTAGTCAAAAAACAATCAGAGCAACGTAGTGTCTTCCTTAACGTCTACAGATTCTTTGGTATGCCTGGGAAACTTTTAGTCGACCGTGGAATTCGCTGTTCCTTACAAATTACGAGGTACTTCAATCGTTACATCATTTATAATTTCGCAATATTCATTGAAACCTTTGCATATATTTAGAAATAAAAAAAAATGAAATAATCATCGTGTCTATTCCTCTAATCGTTGTATTTGAATTTCAATACATTTTAACTGTCCTCGTGCATAACTATTAACTATAAATAAACGAATTCACAGCATTTCATTAGCGACAAGTGCTTTACAATCGAGCATAGTAGAACTCCATTTATTTCGACGAAAATCTTACGATAAAATTGAGTAATAGAAATTGAGTTTGATAATTAGCACATATTGGCAGACGACACTTCCTGTAGATACATATACATAGTGGTGTACCAATAAATAATCCATTATTTCTTATGACATTTAATATTTGTTTATAAAAGAAATAAAAACGTATGCTTCCTTAATAATATTCATTATTGTTCTTTGACATCCGACACTGATTTCACCGAGCAAGAGAGCAAAAAGACACACTTAAACTTTAAATTCTATTGTAATTTCATGTATATAACTAACATAAATCTTCGATATGTATTTAATAAATTTTCATTATTGCCTCCGATCAAAAAGTTGTAAAAAAACGACCTTTACTATTTTCTTCGCGATTCCGACCAATTGCAATTTTTATCAATTTTTTTTACACATCATTTAGTAAACTAATGTTCCCAACTTCACAAAAGAACTAAAGTCATTTGGACCAATTGTAAAAAAGTTCTTCCGGTTTAAAGGGTGTACGAATACTTTTGTCGGATACTGTATACGAGATCCACACATATTTAAACAAACTGTCAATTTTCCTGATCTCTATTTAAACAACTGAAGTTTAGTGCCAGAAAAGTGATTATTCTCTAATCCGAAAATTCTACTATTCGAACACATGTTTTCCTCCCAGTTCGGATAACGGAAGCTCTACTGTGCCCTGAATGGTGTCACTGGAACAATACGAACTTTTTATTACATCAATGTCCTAATTAGCTGAAACCACTCGTCGCCCAAAGGTTTGTAATAAACCGAGTTCTACCGCACCTCCTCACTCTACGTATGATTCTGCAGTCGTGTGATCGATCGGTACGATCGCGAGATCCCTTTCTATTTATATTATGTACACAATTACCTATGCAGCCTCGCAATAACTTACTCGTGTCTAATCGAATATTTACACACATACTACGCTTAATAATAGTAGGATAACTTATTTACAATTAAACCGAAGGCCCGGTCGCATCTACCAGTCGTGTACCGTACATTTATATACATCGAACCTCATCGATCCTTCCTTTCAATATCAATCGCATCCTCTATGCTACCGAGTTCGTCAGACTCGTTTCATTCCTGTACCACCGATATTATCGCGCTTCGATCTGCTGAAAAATCGCCTGGAATCTGGCAACAAGGCCTCACGAGGAAAAAGCATTAACGACGAGACTCCTGCACCGAGTAGGTACCCGCCGTGCGGCGATTACTGCTAATTAAACTATCCGCGACAACCGAAACACAGGTACTTTATTTAAATTTTCTGAGGAAAATTCTAATTGCTAGAAAGCATATTCGTCACGATTTTTCGACGTTAAAACGGTAAAGTAAGAATTATACGACTTAGATGGTGTCACGTATTTTTAAAAATTTACTTTAAAGTTGGATTTTTTAGTGAATTGACCACTTTCTAAGTTTGCCTAACATTATGCAACGTTTATATTATCAGAGAATTCTATAGAAACGCTTTTCAATTCACATATGAGTTCATTTACTTTCAGAGGATTTTATAATTAGTAGACTGCGGATATCTCTGTAGATACAGATTTTTACGGATTAATATTCATAAACCGGAATCAAACAGAAATTTTTTTACTTTATTAAGAATTTTTCTAGGTCCTAAATGAAAGTTAGACCTGATTGGACTTTATTCAATTTTTCACCGTATTGAATTGTAAACCCCTAGATATGTTATAAATCCATAAAATTTGCAGTCTAATAATTAGGAGCTACGTGCAAAAAATCGTGACAGAATTTTGAACAATATGTGACATTTACGTCCAGTTAAGTCTTATTTAAAGTATAACTTCGTTTATGTTATATATTTGACACTAGAACTACCAAACCCTTCAAAATGCCAGATTCCAAATTTCTTATTTTGTTATTGCTTTTGTCGAAATTTATGTTAACGTTTCATTCATCATAAATTTAACATTACACTATACTGTGTTATAATCATATTATGTATGAAACAATTTAATTTAATATACATTCAATGCCGATAGTTTTGGTGTTCGAACAAAGTGTAATAGATAATAGATCGTATTATATTAGATGTATCGAAAAGTAGTGGCTCTTTTAAAATAGTGTCCCTCAATTCCCATAACTGTTTATCACTTTCTTGTCTTTTTTTGTCGTACTCGCCATGTATAAAATAAAATAAATCACAATACCAACTGAAATGCATTGTCCGCTACTTTTTCACACACCTAATAAGCTATTATACCCAGTGTAAATTATAACACGTGCAAAGGGTCGAACCAATAATTTACAAAATGCTCGGATAATTTCAGAATCGTTACATCAGTTATAAAATTTTCGTTTCACACGGTTAGTTTCTATGCATCAGCGTCGCTTATGCTCGTTCCTACTTACTTCTCGATAGATTAACGTCGTAGATCAAATACCGCTGGATCGTCGTTTCCACCTGTCCAGAACATCATCGATTCACCTATGAGACGCCAGTGATAAAGACCATCCTTTCCATCGGGGGAACAACACCGGGGTCCCCTGATCGTGGTCCAAGTCTTCGCGATTCAAGACTTTATGATCGTCCAAAGAATCTTGCTCCAGTTACAAGAACTGGAAACCTTGAAGTTGCCGTTCTTCGTGGCGGGGCAAAGTCACGCACGAGAGAGTCCGGTGACATTAAATATTTTTGTACTTCAATTCCATATTCCAGTCGAACTTGGAATATCACTTGTTCCTCTCGGTGCTCTGATTACTCCCCAACAAACGTGTGGGAGTGTTGTCCTATTAACAGAGAATCACCAGGAACGTCCAATGCCAATGAACGTGCCCTTTCGTTCACGTTCACTCCCTCTGAAGGAGCTCGTAGAGAGCTGCGATGTAAGTTTGCGCCATTTGCAACGTCTCGAACTTGCTGAGCTTTCTGTCATTACCGAGACTAGGCACAACGTCCCTGAGTCTATCGAACGCGTCGTTCAGGCTGTTCATCCGTCTTCTTTCACGAGCGTTCGCCGCCAGCCGTCTCTTCCTCATCACCTCGATCCCCGGCGTGCCGTTCTTGATCTTCTGCATCGTCTCCTTCTGCTTCTGGCCGGCGTACTCCGTCGACGTGACGTGCAACGGCTCGTTTTTCTCGTGATACCGTCCTGTCTCGCACTTGCCGGCTTGACCGTTCGGCGGGTAGGTCTCGTTTCTCTGTACGCTGTACGCAGCTCCCAAATAAAGGATGTCGCCCCTCTGCCCGTACGGATTGCCGTTATTTCTAGGCAAAAAACCATCCACTTTCGGGACACCGTAATTCTTCCCTGGTAAGAAACTCTCCTGGGTTTGGCCGAAGTCGCACCTCGTACTACCGAACACGTTCACCGAATTATGTTCCACCTTCGGCGAGACGTTCGAGTTCTGTTTGCCGGCTGAAGTCTCGTTTGTAAATTCGGTACGACCAGGCGAGCATCCGTAAACGTTCTCCATACACTCGTTCATCCTGAACACGACCTTCCCGTGGTCCTTCCTCGAATTAACGGGGTGACCGAGCTGATGATCGTTTCGGCAGCCCTCTTGGTAGTAGCCCTCGTAGAACTCGGTGAAATTGAAACTGGTCGCGGCCACGTGAAAGCTGCCATTCGCTGCCCCGACGTCCTGGTACTCGCGATTTTGACAGTCGACGGAGCTAACGCTGCCGCAGCTGCTACCCCTGGATCTGGGCGGCTGAGGATAGATCTCCTGGTGGGTCCAACTGCGTGGATTCGATTCCGGACTACTAGCCGAACCGTAGCCCTCGGAATCTAGCTGATCGTATTGTTGGAAACTGGCGTAAGTGGTCATTCTCGTTCGATGTTTACCAAAAATACGTGTTTTCTTCGTTGTCTCGAGGAACTGTCGTAAACGACGGGGTTCAGAACATTGATCCTAGATCTCCTCAATCCACTGTCATCTCATCGAGGGACGGAACGAATTCGGTGACAGAACGGAAATAATATGTATATATATATATATATCCAGATCGTTGATTGAACACGCATCGATTGATCCTGGGGTCAGAACATTTTCAGAGAAGATCGATGATTCTGTTACAAGATACCATAGTTTCTGACCAGTCGAGGGATTCGTAAGGACTCAACGGGATCCTCTGGACGACCGTGTATGCTTCGCGTATGGAAGCGTTGCGTAAACTGGCTTTACCTGGCGATCTCGTGGTCTGGACCATGCTGCCCAGTTTTCTTCGGGGCCGGTGGTGGGGGGAGAGGACTCCTGGGACCCACGTGGAAGGGATCCTCGGAGGAGTGGAAGGGGTCCACAGGGAAGTGGGTATCTCTTTGTAGAAGCCGCACGACCGGACACGCCCCTCGTCTTCGTTCGTCTCTTTGCTGGGGGCTCCGGATGGCAGAGTCAAAAGACGATCGCCGTAAAAGAAAGGCGCTCTATTAAACGGCACGCACGGTCACGGGACTTTGGCGCCGTGTTCTTGACATTTGAGACACGGCAGCTAGACGTGGCACCATTTTTGATAATTCGTTTTTCCGAATGCGTTCTCCTTTCGAGCGTAGAATGTTAGATCGAATACTTTGGCTATTATACTTGAAGTTTATAAGTTGATAATTGCTTTTCCATTTCATTAAGTACTATAAAATTAACGAATTGACTACGGATTTTATGCATTCGTAGCATAAAAAAGTATGTGAAATGCAATAAAAGACAAAACATAAACTTTATTCTGTCTTTAATTCTGGCTTTGTATATTACTTCATGAAATGTTATTTTGTACGAAGATCTACGTATCTTTATTTATCTATCTCTTTATAAATCCGAAGTCTATGAATGAATGAAACGGAGTTGAGGGCTTAATTTGGCTTCCGAAGTTTAAACTACGAAAGTTAAGTTTTGTTTATTTTAAACTAGATTATCTGAGAAGGATTACAAATTGAAGATTATTTCTTTATTTAAGGATTGTATAGAAAATTACTGGAATTTGTAATACAAGTCACTGCACTTTTTGCAAACAAACTGAGCTCATAGGAGTTAAAGATAATTATTCATTATTGTTCATATATTTTAGTTATCACAAACTGAATAATTTGAAAGTACTTCTTTAATAAAAGAGACTGTTGTATAAAAATTAATCGTAGAAAGTACAATCTCACTTCTGTGCTAAACTAATGAAAATATTTTCGATTGAACTGATTGATTTGTTCATGTCAAATATAGAAAGCCTGTTAAATAACACATTCTCCCCTGTTCAGTTTAGAATTAATCTAAAAATTGTAAAGTAAACTAATTTATTAAATGATTTTAATCAAATAATATTAATCGATCAGATCAAGTAATATTTTCATTATTTAATGGTGACAGTCATTAGAATAATAGTTAATTATAAGCGTACAATTAATTATCAAAATTATTGTAATTATTTATATGTAGAAGACAGTGTCTGTGTTTACGTTTACTGTTTATATTCCCAAAGATAAAACAGACGGAATATATAAATGTAACCTAAGAGTAAATTCTTAATAAAATATTACAATATGTTCCATAAATTGAAAATTGCATACTGTCATAAAACAAATATTATAAATAAACAATACAGAACAGAATGAAAAATATAATAAGAATTAATGCACATTTTTGTTTATTACACACTACACACTGACATACACTCTAAATTTGCATGAACATACACAATCTATTAATAACAGATTAATAATATAAATTAATTAATTAAAAATCAGATAAGGTAAATTACAACAAGAATTCGAATCACACATTAAATCATCTCCTTTCACGCAATTTCCCTGCTTTATAAGCTGTTAAACCGAGCCCAGAATAATTATTTGACACGGCGCTAACTTCTTTTTCGTCCCTGTTCCTTTTTCGTGACCGTTGTACTTTATGACACTTTAAATACATGGGGGCTGGAAAGTGTGGACAAATTTGATTGTTTTATGAGGGTTGCGTTGTGTCCTTTCGGTTTAGACGGTGTAAATTCTTCAACTCGGATCTTATACACTGTATTTATTTATTTATTTATAGTTGTTTTATTTACCTACTCGTTTATAATTATTTGTTTCTTTAGATATTTGTTTACATACTTATTTTTAGTTATTTATTTAATATGAGAAATATCGATATTATAAAGAAATTGAATTATAAAATAGTCAAAATTATATGAAATGGACAAATGTAGAAGAAATGAAAATAGATTGATACAGAGGGTGACTTACACAACTGTATCGTTTCTTGGTTAAACTTGGAGAAAACTATTAGAGGAATAAGACGTTTTTGAATAGAAACTTTCCTTTTTCTTGCATATATCGAATCTCCTCGTTCTTCTATGTAACACAGTATCTGAGTAAAATGATCGAAAAATGATTAGTTCGCGAGGTATTTTAAAAAATTACAAAATGGGGTTACTTTAAAAATAAAGTATTCCATTCTTGGATGTTATGGGATTTTATAATGTTCATTATTTATTTTAATAAATTAACAATTTTAATTTCTAGTTACGTAGATTTGCTTTCAAAACAAATACAAGTGCCTCGTGCAGAGCAAAGAGCACACATTACGTTATCGCGCAAGTGGTAACTGTTGCTAATAATTTCCATTCATAAAAGTGTGACCAAAAATATCCATCAGTGAAACCGCCAGTTCATCCATAATAATCTATGTAGAAAGTATAATATTTCAATAAAAATGATGAAATTCGAACTAGTCAATGCACTAAATTTAACAGAATATTTGAAAAGGAGGTTGAAAGGAGTGCGTGAAATGGAAATTTAACTGTGTAATACTTACAATTAAATAGTTAAGTTATTACGTCGCTTGTAACATCGTTCTAGTAAGACTCGTTCAATGTACTTACGAACTCCTTGGAGCCTATGTTTATTAATGCGACAAATATTAAAGCAAGTAACAAGCTAAAATGGAAGATTACATAACAACTATATACAAAAATAGCAATAATCTAAAAAAAACGGTTCTCGGATCTCACATATTGCGGAATACGATAATACTCACGGTTAACGTGCCTGGCACGCAAAATCGACGCGAAAACATCTTTATTGACGAATCATATTGAACGTGATTGTTTTTACCGGCGCAAACACCTGCGTTGGTCCTCGCGCTTGTTATACCATTTAGAATCATTACAGGAGTTTATAAATACCTTCGTCAGTCTACAATCGTGCATTCATGCGTTAACAGAATACATAATTCGAATTTTAATGTAATATACATTTGAAGAAAAACATGAAATTCTTAACTATTATTCAGCAAATATAATTGAAACTAACAAAAATTTTATTTTATCCAATTTCAATATACTATTTTTATTTTTAATTTCTTTCGTGTATCTGTAGTAATGTTCAAAAGTATCCCCGAATTCTGAATTACCTACAGGAAAAATTTTTTTAAACTGTGATAACCCTGCATTTTATGTAGATGAGTAAAAATATAGACGTTATACAATTAATGAAAAATAAGAATACTTTTTTTACCTGTTTTTATTATTCTTTATTTAAGTTTTAAAAATTATTATAAGAAGTAGACCATGTTTAACCCTTTGAGTGTACAATACTTAAAAGAATTTTGTTCAACTACTCTGTAGCATAATACGTAGAATTATTAATTTATTATGCCATCCATAATTAAGTTTTTATTTGGATCTACTGTTACACAGAATTATATAAACATTATCGAATCAATCTGATTTTTAATTAAATGAATACAAGCTGACAGCAATGTTTCGTTGGACGTACATGTACATACATATGAGTATGTGCACGTCATTCATGCCAGAATCATCCGTTGCATGAATATTTATGGGAGAGTAAGTCTGGGTCAGTTGTTAATTAATTTGTAGTAGTGATTAAAATAAAAGAGAAACATGCTTTAAATCTGCAGAATTATAATCAGTAAGTTCTTACCATCGGTGTTCCGTCATGATTTCATTTTATTATTCCGAAAGAATGTTTAAAAATATTTAATGCGCTGCGATTGATAGCCAACGTTACCGCGGGAACTCGGCTGACAGACTCGTGCTCTGATTGGTCGGGTTTTTTCGTTAATATCTCGTTAACAAAGCCTCAGATAACGTTTTTGCTAAGGAAAAACTTGTTTCAAATCACCTCACGAATCTCCCATTTCCGGATCTTTTAACATTTTCATTACACCCTGTATATCGATTAATTTGTTCACAGAATGTTGTAATATTTATTCGACCAAATTGTGTACCAAGTAGCGAATTTCATTTGGAAATTTAGAAAAATTTATTAAGGTTGATAACAGTAAATATAGTAAGAAGAACTGGAGTCACATAAAAAATGTTATACTTAATTGTTATTTCGAAGGTACATATGTAATTGAATGAATGAGTCTTTGTATATACACCTGTAACACTTAAATGGTCAACATATTTTCATAGTAATACTCAAGACATTGTTGTCAGTGAACCAGGCGCATAGAACTCCCAAAGAAGATAGAAAGTTAAACAATTTCTTGAAATATGATTATATTTTTTAGGTCTATGCAAAAGTTTCCATCGCTGGTAAATAAATGTCATTAAAAGGCACAGTAGATGTATTTTCTTATTCAAATTTTCACAGTTGGTATTTATAACAATATATGCCATGTATATAATATATGTCACTATTTCGTAATGGAATGAATGAGTTACCCGACGGATGGTGCAACGTAGTCGAAGCGAGAGAAAATATTTTAATCACAGTTAAATGTAAATGCGATAAAAACTAAATATGTATCTCCCACAAAAGGAAGCGATGGGAACTTTTGTATAGGTCTAATAAATACATTTATATTTTGAGAAAGATGCG